TATTTTTGCTTTAGGTGAGTTACGGTCTGATCTTTACCTATGTACCTGGCAGTTGCGATGGTGGCTACATATAGCGGTAGATGATAGTCGATAAACGAAATTTTCGATAGGTGAGGGTATATCTTCATATAGGTAAATCGATCGTTTTATCGTTTAATTTGCCGTACGACTTGCATTGATTACGATAATTGGATAATTTTGAACAAATTTAAAATTGTTAATGCGTATTTATACTATTTAGTCCGAAATCACATAAGTTTAAGTTTGTAAGTTCGTAGCCCGTAGATATCAGTTTCAAGTTTGTATCAGTTTAACTGTTTAATACATGATACATATTTTAATATAGTTAGTAGTTCATCCTAGAGTTTGTAAATAGTAAAAAGTCGACTTATTAAAAGCCACTTATTACCTATTTACGAAAGCTATAAATTCCGTGTATACTATTAATGTAACACCTACATTATTGTGTGGTCGTAATTCATGTTAGTATGTCACTCTCATAGACTCGGGTCGCGACTCGTATTTATTTATTTAAGGATTAGGCCGCGATTCACCAGTACCAATATCATCATCATAATATGATCATATGCATGTTAATTGATATAGCTATTAAAGTCACTTATTTTACTTTTAGTATTACAGAAATTACAGTAGTTTGATTTAATTTTTCAAGAACATTGCATTTATTATGTTTATTGATTTTTGAACCAATATCACCTATCGTATAACCGTTTTATGTGTATGGTGTGCTAATATGCAGCAGACTCTTAAAGTAGGTAGGTAGTACCCATATATTATTATTATCGAATAATATCGGTTTTCTATATTAAATTATTAAAATTAATAGACTTTTTTAAACTTAATGTGCAGCTTTTAATATACATATAAAAAAATATTAGTTTCAAACACTACACATCGTTTTTGTGAGAGAAGTCGTGGAGGGTTAACATTTAAGTTAAGACTTAAAATACTATCCAAAAGAAAAAATAAATAATGTTATAAATTCACAAGTACAACATTGAACAATTGATTTCTCAATACACTACAACAATTAACTCGAAGCTATTTTTAATATCTGTATAATACTTATTTTTACACATTTATACCCTAAACCAGAGGTTGAATAGGTATTTATTAAATTGTGTAGTCGCCCAGATAATTTAAAGAAAAAATTTTTCGAGATGCAAAAAATATTTAAATATTAATAATGATTAATGAATATATTAATTTTTGTGTTAAAAATATAATTTAAGTTTATAACGAGAGAAATAACATTTCTTGTCTTGAACTAGTATTTTATTTTAATTTGATAGTCGTGTACTCGTGTCTCTTGGAGACTGATATATAGTGTTTTCAAGGTGGAAATCAATTAATCTTGAACAACTTAATTTTTTAAAAATATAATTTTAAAGTACGTAGTTTTACATGTTATTATTTATTATTAATACCATTAATAATATGATTAAGTATATTTATAATATAATCAATGAGATTACGTTTAAAGAGCTAAGCATAGACATTAGACGCATGGTAGCTAATTTTATAGTTCGTATACTTATCCAAAAATCTTCAATAGACGCCAAGGGGGGTGTTCAACCCCCCCAGAAATTTTAACGAATTTATTAAAAAATTAATGCTTAATATTTACATTTATTTGAAATTAATGTTAATCTTATTTTTCATGTGCGTTATTAAAGATATTGACCTCCCCACCCGAAAATTTTCTTAGACACGCTCCTGAATAAATGTATTTTTATTGTGTAAATTTAATAATTTGTTTAAACACGACAGACGTGATATAATGATGATTTTAATACGAACTGGATATTATTATTAAATGTTACAAGTAGGAACAATGTCCAGTGTTGTTATCGTCATTATTATCTACTGATTATTATTATAAGCAGCGATAAAAGATGGACGCAATCGTAATCTCTAAATACATCATAAGACATAATAGATAAAATACTTATTATGTGAAGAAAATCAAAATAAAAAAAAATATTTTAGACGGTCCAGTTATTTTCCTTTCTCTGGCCGCCTATTATCGATCCTTGTGGCTTTGTCCTAAACTGTATATAGACTCTAAGTTGAAACTACAAAATGCACACAGTAAATTATTCTAATTTTTTTAATTCGCATTAAAAATATACTTACATAATTTATTTAAAATTTATTTAAGTAATTTCAACAGATTTCTTAAAATTAATATGTAGGCAATTTGATTTAGGAATTGGCCCGTGAAAAATCGCACACCACACGCGTGTAAGCTATTATTGTGATAAATGTACAATATAAAACTATAAATAATTAATAAGCAATATTTAAAAAATTAAATCTACATCCTTCGAAAATGTCATTATAGTTGTAAAATTCATATTATACGTACCTATAACGTTTGTACCACTACAAATAATGTTTTTTTAGTAATAATTAAAATCTTTGTTCATTGTTAAGGTATTTAGGTTCCAAATGTTCCAATACGCTTGTATGAATTAATTATGAAAACACTATATTACATTTTCAAACCTTAGTTATAATTGTCACAATTTTCTACAAACTTGAATCTCCAAAATGCCCATATATGTATTTTTTTCTTAATTTAACTTCTATAACTGGGGATATTAATTGTGGAAGTTGTATGTTTGTTAATACGGGACTATAGGCTTTTAGAACACGAGTTTCTGTCAATATTTTTTATACATTTTGATAGATATCTATAGAATAAAACTAAAAAATTTCAATTGCCTATAAAGAAGTTCAAAAAGAATCACAGTATCTTGATAATTATAGAATTTAAAAAAAAAATAATATAATATAATATAAATATTTGTTGAAAGTTTCAAGTATATACAGATAATTTATTAAGTTTTATAACATATATTAACACATACAACAATGAACAAACTTATAGTGTTAATTAAATTTTTTTTTTGTTACTGGGTATTTTTCATTTACGTAATTACAATATAGGTACATTGTGGTTACAATATTTATTATGTTTTTAATTTGGGTAGTTTGTAGATTATTGTTTGCCTAGAACGTAAGATGGTGTAAAAATACAAATATTTTAACCAGATTGTACATTATTTTTATGATTATAAAATAATATTATGTTATTTTCAAAAGTTTTTAAGACATTTGAATTGGGTCTCTAGGTATTATACTACAGTTATCACTTTAACAAGTCTTGATTCTGAACTGTTGAGTATGTATTTATTTTACTTATAAATTATATTTGTTCTATAGAATCATTAATACGGAGGATATAAAAAATAAGAACTTAATATTTATTGGTTTAGGGTGTGATAGTTGTTAAATCCTGAAGATCTTTATATGGGTCATAAGATTATGAATCAAAATATTAATATTATACAATATTATATATTTATCTTTTAATAATTCTTCAATGTTTAATTTAAAAAATATATCAATTAAAATTAATTTCAAGTTAAAAAAGTAGGAGAAAAGAGGATTATTGATAAACAAATCCAATCCAAAATTAGAACCACATATTATTTTATTGTGAGAAAAAAAAATATAATTTATTTCAATGGAATAAATCTAGAGCTGTGGGTGGCACCAATACCGGGTCGTCCGTGTTTAACTGGTTTGTATGTTACACTGAATTCACCCAAATAATGACCAATCATTTCAGGCTAAAAAATAAAGTATATAAAATCAAATACTACAGCTAAAAAAATTATGTACTTGTTTTAATGATACAAGTTGAGTATTGTGTAACAGTTTACTAACCTTAATTTCAATTTGATTGAAAACTTTTCCATTGTAGACACCAATAATACTGCCAACCATTTCAGGAACAATGATCATGTTACGGAGATGGGTTTTCACAGCTTCAGGTTTTTCCATTGGTGGAGCCTCTTTCTTTGCTCGACGCAATTTTTTCACCAATGCTGACTCTTTACGCTTAAGACCACCACGAGAAAAACGCCTGCGAGCACGTGAGTGCAACAGCTCGATCAACTGTTCTCTAATGAACATAATACAAAAGTTAAAATATGTTAAAAATGATAATAAATAATAATTTACCCCTGGATGTCCAAAAGCTGGTCCAAGTCGACGCCACGGTATGTGAATTTACGGAAAGGCCTTTTAGCCTTGTGCTCAACTTCTGTCTGAAACATAACAAATTAAGTTGTCGTTAAAACACTTTGTTCAATTATATATTATAACGTAGATCCAAGATAAAACAGGAACAAAACAATTTTGTCGGCGTTCTTGATGATGATTAGTCATGCATTGATTATTATTTTGTTTAATATTCACATAGTAATAGAAATTCACAAAGTACCATACCAAGGGGAGACGATTGCCCTTTTCAGAACAACCACTGGTAAAATGTTAAGACTTAACCAAAGTAACATAGTGGGAGAAGTATTCTATGATCAGAAATCGTTTAAAACAGTAAAAATACAAAAATGCATTGCAGTAATTGAGATTATTTCTTAAGCGAGTCTGAATATTGTAGCTGGCAAATTAAATCAAATGTAAATTTACAAGGAAACGTTGTGTTTCAAGAGTCACAATTTATAGGTTAAAATTATTAAAAGTATGCATGGATTTTCACGAACGTTAGGACCATCGTTTCGTATAGCTATCGAATCGAAATAGTAATAAAACAAACTTACGGTGTTTTCAGCCATTTTGATGTGGATTTAGGTCTGGAGTGATCCAAGAACAATTTTTAAGAAAAACGTGTCTTCTTTTCGAACGAAATCACAATCGTAGAAATAAAGAAAAGGTATATATTGTATTAATGTGGTAAATGGTAATGTAAAACAAGTTTGTGAGACGACTTTACAGTGTCACCAACAGCAACAACTGAACGATTGTATGAGCGATTTGTGTACTTATAATTGTGGTAACTACATAATGCGTCTTTGGAATTAAAATTTCTTACTTCATCTTCTTATCACTAAATTAGATGATTCATGATTGATAAAATTAAAGTCTGTCAATACCGTAGAGTAATAATAAGTAATAACTAATAAATAACAATAATAAAAATTAAAAATATTAATCAATATCTTACAATAAAAATTTGTGAAATTGATTATTGTTTTAAACTGTAGTATTAATACCGCTTTACCGCGGGAAAAATTTTCGACCGTCATTTATTCATTAGTTGAAGCCGATATTCAAAACTAAATATGTTTAAACCTCACATGTTGGAAGTAGAAAGCTGGAAAGGCGATTGGGGTTTGCCGTCTATCGATTATAAATGCCTCGAAGTTTTGGTACCTTAATAATATTTGTGTACAGAAGAAAAAACATTAAAATTATAGCTATGAAAAATTTTTTGTTTTTAGGCTTTTGCTAGGTTTACTAATGCGCCCATCATTATATACCATTCGAACAATCCGTTCAAGTCTACAACCGGTCATTTTCCCGTTGTGAGTTATAATAAACGATTATTAATGAATCGAGACAGTCTAATCGATTGTCTTGACAAACAGGTAAACTAATTTACAACATTCAAAACTCAACGAGTGCTCTTCTAATATTTTTTTTTATTTTTTGTTTGTGTTTCAAGAATCTCACACCAGATTTTGGCTTAACCAGTCTTCAATTAGCTGAGGAACACGCAGCTATTAGTATGATTGATGCTCAACTTGAACCAGCGTTATTGTTTGCTTGGTAATAAAATTTAAAAAAAAATTAATTTTTCTGTTAGACTATGTTTAATTATTTAATGTTATATTATTATTGTAAAGGTGGATGGATGAGAGTAACTGCCTTAATTTCACTAAGCCATGGTATAGAAATGCTATAAAATTTCCATTTAATTGGTATTATCCAAATGCATATGAAAGGGAAGCCAAGCACAAAATCTATACATTATACAATCATTTAGATTCTGACAATGATATAATGACAGAGGTAAATTATTTTAAATTCAGTTTTTAATAATATTTTATTATTAGTAACTTATGTTATGTATTAAGATTTATACAGAGGCTATTAAGTGTATGAATAGTTTGGAAAGTCGTTTGGGCAACAATTTCTATTTCTTCGGGTCACATCCTACATTATTAGATGCTGTTGCTTACAGCTATTTGGGGCCATTATTAAAAGCACCACTTACTGACAACAAATTACAAGCACATTTAAAAACTTGTAAACATTTGTGTATTTGGATAGACAGAATAACGAGAGAATATTTCAAAATAGATTGGCAAGCGCACAAATGCAATGAAAAAAAGAAACTAGAAGAATCTAAGCAGCAAATGAATGTTATACCTTGGTATAAGAAAGACGAGACAAAAAACATTTTAATTGGATTAGTTACACTTGTTACAATGGTTGTATATTCATTTAAAATTGGTCTCATTAGTGTGAGTTCTAATAATTATACTATAAAATTAACAGATTTTGTAATTTGAGTCTACATTTTGTAGGTAAGCGATACAAGTGATGAGGAAGATGAAGATTGATTAATCATAAACTTTTTTAATTAGTCATTTTTTAATATTATTTTTTATGTTCCTGTATTTTATTAGACATTAAATAAATGGATCAAATGACTTAGTTTTTAACACAATTAGATTAATGTTGAATCTATATTAAAATTATGTTTTATGTCAAGAAAACATTTATTTGATGATTACAAACTGATGTTGGACATCATAAATCCCAACAGGCTGGTTTTGTCTTTCATCATAATCAACCCATTCTTTTTCTTCTAAGTTAATGTCTTCAAATTTAGTGTTGGTTTCAATTCCAATACACTTAAACCCATTTCTAGGTGAAAAGTCAATAATTGATAAGCCACGACAATCAAATGCGACGATACTTTTAAATTTATTTGAATCATCTATTGTATACTTTGAAATACTATCTGGTAAAATATCTGAAAATAAAACTATGTTGTAGTTTATACAACAAATATTATATCAATTTTATATATCTAAAAAACTTACCTAATGAACTGTCTCTTGAACACATTTTGCATTTGGTGACAAAATTTGCTTGACCTCTACTTCCTTTCATTGGAACAGTTACCTAAAACTTTTTTCATTTAAATTATGAGCTAAAATAAATATAATTAGAGTTACTAACATCTTGAGATAAGTAAATCCATTTGTCAGATTCTTCGCCACAATTTGTACATCGAAACTGTAAAAAATTTTTCAAAGAATTAATAGTTTTGAGCCAGGTTTCATGAAAAATGGATTAATTTAATGATTAAATAAAATTGAATAGATCACTAAACCATGATAAAGGACAATTAGCCAATTAGCAGTTTATTATTGACTCATTAAATGTTTAATGACTGCTCATACAAACTGGCTTGTTTTTATAATATAAATTCAAATCAAAGTTAAAATATTTTAAACTAAGAGATGAATACCTAACATAATTTAAGAGATATTGATATAATTTTAAATTTAATTTCAATTGCATTTATCATACTTTTAAATACCATCGAAAATCTTCACCGTCGGGTGTAAGTTCAGTCACATTTTCTAAATTTGCTTTGATTTGTAATGCAATTTTCTAGAAATTAAAAAAAAACAAAAATTACCATATAAAATGCATAGATTTTCTAAATATTAAAGTTAATACTGAGCTATTATTATAATATAATGAATGATGTATTATGTCCTTCTACACATAATTTATTTTTTAATTATACATAATATATTAATATGTATACTATATTAAACTTATTTATAAATGTTATATCAAAATTAAAAATACAGATTCTGAGTAATAAAAAAAAACTTACTACCATAATGCTTTGAATAATAACCTATAGGGCAATACTTGATATAAATAATATATTAACAAAAAAATCAGTTAATTAGGTAATAATGTGTTAAATATTTCGTGGATGGTTAAACTATCATTATTCGTTAGATGTCTGCAACGACTTAATTATTAACTCTTATTAAAAATGATAATAAATATATAACTATATCTTAAGAATATTATCACGGAACGAGGAAATATTGAAGATGATTTTGGTACTGTACACACTACACATTTGTTGTCGAAATGTCGAACCGGCAAAACATAACATAACAATATTGAAATCTAATCTGATAATTAACTGGGACAGTGGATCAGGATCTTATATTATATTGTGCACAAAACGACAAAATATACATATCTTATAAGCTGATATTATTACATTGCTCATCACCAGAGCTAGCACCTTAAAAGGCACTGGCAAAAATCACCATTTGGTCTTCTTAAACTGCACAGTAGGTACAATAATTATTTAATTATTTTTAAACTTTGAGAACGCAGAAGGCAGAACAAAAGTCAAAACGTTAAATGAACAACGAATTTAAATGTATTGGTAATCAATTCATATAACTATGTGTGATAAAAAGATAGCAACACCATTCTTATCTGCTGTCTTTTCAACACGCTATCTCGGTTATGTTTACATTGGTCTTATGATCAGTATTCCCAGTTATCATATAGAGTTCAATG